GATTATAGGCATGAACTACCAGCACCTGGCCATACTCTGACTTTTTTTTTTGAGACAGGATTTCACTATATATCCCATTTGTCTCCAGCACAAAATTCTCTTGCCTCAGCCTCCTGAGTGTTGGCATTACAGGCATGCCCCACCATACCCAACTTTTTAAATCTTTTTAAACCTCCAATCCCTCTTTAAAGGATAATTTTCTTTCAGAGTCATCTGTTTATTTCATAAGAACAAAAGAACAGGTCTCTTTGCATGGCTTCTAGATCCAGTGCCTGGCACAGAGTGGAGAAGATTTGTTGATAGAAGAGATGAAATACAGGAAATGAAATGTGTTGGCTAAATGTAAATGACGCTACCACCTTCTCTCCCCAGCCCTGTGTTTTTGCTGGTTATTTTGGACATGGGTTCTCACTGAATCACTACTAGGGCTGGCTTTGAACTCTGATCCTCTGGAGCTCAGCCTTTTGAGTAGCTGGGATTACAGATCTAAGTCCCTGGTACTTGGCTAGGTTTAATAATCTCTTGTATATCGTCAGATATGTTAGCCACCTAAAAGTTAGTAATTTTTGAACTTTTTATTAGCTCTTTGCTTCTACTAGCTGTCCATTTTCCTACGGTTTTCCTCTATGAGCCAGATTTGCTCTTGAAAAAGAAATCCTGGGGGCATTCAGGATTTGTTTGAGTAGACTTTTCTAGCTAGTCCCAGTATTTTCCATGTGCTCTGTAGACTCAACAGGGAATGAAGGAAGCGTGCCCAGGTCAGGGGCCTCTGAAGTAAACACAGAAGACACTGAAACGAGCAGACTTGCCTGCATCTTTTTCTTCTCTGTCTTAATTTCCTTCTCCTCCTCCGTTTCTGAGCAGGGTTTTTGTTTGTTTGTTTTTTGTTTTTGTATTTTCTGGAAGTAGGCCTTGAACTCAGGGCCTCATGCTCTCTGTTGGCTTTCTTTTCTGCTCAAGGCTGGCATTCTACCTACCACTGGAGTTACACCTTCACTTCATGCTTTTTTTGGGGTTTAGTTGGAGAGAGAAGTCTCTTGGATTGTCTGCCCAAGCTGGCTTCAAACTGTGATCCTCACTTCTAAGCCTCCTGTGGAGCCAGGATTACAGGGATGAGCCGCCAGTGCTCATTATCTTCTTCCTTAAATACATGAAGCTCTTTCTCAACATCTTCTGTTAATTTGTGGATATTCAATGTTTTTGTCCCCTGTGGGCCAAATGCTTATTCTACAGTAGACTCTAGATTGTTCTGTGGTGGTGGTGGGGTCTCAGAGAACCTATTTAAAGTTGGAAAGGAAGTGAGACGGAATGGCATCAGATGGCCTTTGCAAAGTGAGTGTGGTAGACCTCACAGAGAAGAGCAGTTTGTGTTTCCTAGTTTGATTTCAGAGCCCCAATTTCTCAGAAGCCTGTAGCATCCAGCATTCTTCTCACGAGACAACAGGTCCCCAAGTTGTGTGATGTGCCCAGGTCTGGCCACAGATGGCTATCAGCAAGGTGGGGGCCACACCCCTCTTAGTGTTTGGCTTCCCCCCATGTTAGGGTCCTGTCACCACGAGAGGCAGACCAGACAGAAATCTCCTGCAGCTTATTTTCTATTTGGCCACGTTCTGTGATGGAGAGAGTCTTTTCATATAAAAGCAGCAAAGCTCCCTCTTTGTCAGGCGCAGCAGCATGGAGTTCCAACTTGTCTTCCACTTCCTTTGGAGATGTTTTAAGATCCGGTGTAAACTTGCTGTGGTTTGCCTTGGGCATCAAACTGTTTAGCTTGGCTCTGTTCTATCTGTAATTGCTGCATTTTAATAATTACCCAATATTCTTGTCAGCAATTTGCAGTCTCTCTATTTTTTTTAATAGAACCATTTTGCCTTTTTTTCCCACAGGTTCATTCGTACCTGCTTTAAGCCCCTGGATTAATGCAGCCCAGCCCCGCAGACCCCCTAGAATTGCGGATGGGGTGTCAAGGGCTTATTAAATATTCCTTCCAGGCTCCTGCTGCTTGGGTTTATGTCCACATAAAAGGCTCTTTAAGAAGCCATCTCTCCAGTTTCTACAGGACTTCTAGAAATGACTTCTAGAAATGCTAACATTGGCTGAATCAGTGTATTCTTTTAGGGCAGTTTCTCCTGATCATTCAGGAAAATTGACTGTTTTGAAGAAGCAGGGGGTGGGGAGTGAGGAAGTAGAGATAAACTCGTGGCTGTTGTTGAATTTGAGTTTGGAAATTAAGAAGTTTTCATCTCATCTGAGGTATTGTGGAATGATGGTGACAGAAATGTTGGACCTCAAGACATGATTCAAGTCAATGTGGCTTCCGACCAGTTTGGAAGCTGTGTTGTCCATTCAGTTTTTTAATTTTCTTTTTCTCTGGATGTTTTGGTAACACCTCATATTGCAAGGAAGGACCTCTGTCAACTGAACCGTGCCCCCCCCATCCCTTTAGTCAGCTATTGGAATTAGATAATAGTGCCTGAACTTGACTGATAGTTCAGTTTCTTAGTGATCCTGTTGTTTGGTCTTTCTATCGGTCTGTCTCTTATCTGTTGTAATGTTTATTTTGCAATAAACCAGAGATTGACCTAGTTTTGACAGTAGCTTAAGATTTACAGAAGTGACCACGGCCTACTCTTTCTACTTTATCCATATAAATGCCTTGAAGAGCATGGATAAGTAATAATGATTATCATTTAACATTCAAAGCGCCTGGAGGCACTTTTCTAGCATTGGATATATTGTATATATTGACTAACAATCCTCAGAGCCGACCACCGTCCCATTGTGCCTGACCATCTACCTAAATTTGGTAGGGACCAGAGTGGATTCATAGCTAGACAGACGTCACACTGTTACCCTCATTCACATTGTATTCACACAGGTTGTTTTTTTTTTTTTAATCACTATCTTATACCAAGATTGAACCACATTTCCTCCAATACATATAATCATTTAATCTTAAGTCATATCTAAGAGAATCCTTTTGAAATTAGAAGTGTGTGTGTGTGTGTGTGTGTGTGTGTGTGTGTGTGTGTGTGTACTGGGGCTTGAACTCAGGGTCTTGTCACTGTCCCTGAGCTTTTGTGCTCAAGGCTAGCACTTCACCTCTTGAGCCACATCTCTGTTTCCTCCCTTTTTGCTGGGTAACTGGAGAAAAGTGTCGAGTTTTAATGGTCTTCCCTGCCCAGGCTGGCTTTGAACATCCATCCTTGATCTCAGCCACTGGAGTAGCTAGGATTACAGGCATGAGCCATGGGCACCTGGGTAAAATTAAAATATTCTTGTTACTATTTCTGGATAGATAACTCACACAGGCCAACAAACAGAAAACCCACACCCTCCCACCCATCCCCTAATGATCCCGTGGCCCCTTTGCTCATAGACATTTCATGTTACAACTGCCAGGAACCTTCCCATACCGTTGGATACAGTGGAACTTAGATGATTGAATCTCATTTTCCTGTTTCTTCCAAGTGAAGATGATGGCAGTTGGGTTTTGGGGATGATGCTTTCTGGGGAAGATGGTTCTGGAAAACAGCACCATCTTGCCTCACCCAAGGCTTAGATGGGAGCCGGGTTTTATTGCAGTCAGGGAAGAACCTGGCCTGGATAGTGGGCACTCCATAGTGTTCTACTCATTGAACAACTTCTGTGTGTTGTGCCAGACCGAGGTGTACGTGGGGTGGGGGAGTAGACCGGGGGGGGGGGGGGAGGGGGGGAGGTCTGTGAGGGATTGTTAGGACTATGGTGGGGAGAGTGGGAATCTAGGTTAAGCAGACCATTATTAAAGTCACACATAAGACTGTGAATAGGGAGGTTTTAAGAAGAACATTCTAGATTATCTAGTCCAGTATTCAGATGGGCTCAGATGGGTCTGAAAGGCTGGGAAGAGGCTTTCTTCCTATTAAAATGTTGGCTAACAGTGGAGTTAAGAGCCTTCCTTTCTCTTTCTATTTAAAAAAATTTTTTTTGCTGGTCGTGGGCCTTGAACTCAGGGCATGGGCACTGTCCCTGCGCCTCTGTGTTCAAGGCTAGTGCTCTGCCACTTGAGCCACAGTGCCACTTCCGGCTTTTTCTGCTTATGTGGTACTGAGGAATTGAACCCAGGGCTTCATGCATGTGAGGCAAGCCCTCTACCACTAAGCCACATTCCCTGCCTCCTATTTCTTTTTAATGGCTTTTTTTTTTTTAAAAAAAAAAAAAGATGAATTCTCAGTATAATTTAATTTGATCCTTGTGATAACCCTGTCATTATAACATTAGGTTATCTCTAATCCGAGCTGTTTCTGTTTGCTTGCTGGTACTGGATATTGGCAACTTAAGTGTCATTACAGCTGCTAGTACATACTGTAACTGGGTAGATCATAGCACACCGCAGTTTTGATCTGTAATCCTGAAAAATCTGTAGAAAGCCAAAGATTTAGCTAGATGCTGTGTTAGCCCAAGCTGCTGGGGAATGTGAGGCGGGAACATGGCTTGAGCCCAGTTCAAGGCCAGCCTGGGCAAACAGTGAGACCCTCTCTTAATAAAACAAGTAAACCCTGTTCAAAACTGAAGATTTAAAATGACAGCTATAAGCATTTGAAAACTATTTGTGCTACATCTTTGTTAGGTAGCCAGCAAACATCATCCTGACCCCCCAATTGCTTGAGTGCTATCTTCATACTTTTTTTTTTTTTGTTGGTCATGGGGCTTGAATTCTGGGCCTGGATGCTGTCCCTCAGCTCTTCAGCTCAAGGCTAGCACTCTACCACTTGAGCCACAGCGCCACTTCTTGCCTTTCTGTTTATGTGGTGCTGAGGAATTGAACCTGGACCTCATGCATGCCAGGCAAGCACTCTACCATTGAGCCACCTTCCCAGCCCTAGACTTTTTAAAACATCTTTTATCTCTTAAACAGTTTCCACAAATTCTCTTTAAGTGCCTGGAATGTGTCTACTTAGGAAATGATGCTGCTGCATTATGTTTTCTTACTGAAAAGTGTGTGTATGTTTTTTTTTTAACAGGCAATTTGTAAACAGTGAAGAGAAATTTTTAAGGTCACTTTTGACTTTCCAAGACTGCGCGTGCGATCGGAAGCTGAGGTGACAGGAGATGGCCTCCCCCTCCTTCATCATGCTTTTTGCCCTGATGAGCTCCTGTGTGGCCACTGCAGGTAATTTGCATAATAAAAGCCATGGATACATTTTTCTTCACTCTAGAAGGATTTAGGTTCTGTGATGCTTCATGCAAAACTTGAATGTGGACGATCTTTAGGCAGATACAATCTTGGATTACTGTGCAGATGCATACCTTTGTGGTATATTTCACCAGGCTGGGTGTAGGCATTCTAATATCAGATGCACAGAAACCCAGCTCACTGATATTGAGTCAGGTTGGAGTCAAATATGCTGATTTTAAATCCCACTTAATTTTGGTACCTGTATAGAGTAGATGCAAGATAATATTCTTGTCCTTAAATAAGAATTCATGGAAGAATCCTTTTTGTGTTTTCATCTGCTACAGAATAAGTAAGTCTTTTAGATAGAGGTAATGCTCTTAGGGCTTTTAAGGAAGTGTTTATTTCAGATATTTTGTTTATTTGTATTTATTATGCTGGTTATGGGGCTTGGACTCACGGCCTGGGCACTGTCCCTGAACTTTGTGCTCAAGGTTAGTGTTCTATCACTGGAGCCACAGCTCCATTTCCAGCTTTTTTGGTGGTTAATTGGTGATATGAGTCTCATTGACTTTCCTGCCCCAGTTGGCTTCAAACCTTGATCCTTAGCTCTCAGCCTCCAGAATAGCTAGGAATACAGATGTGAGCCACCAGCTCCCACCTCAGATATGTAATATGTAGCATTTATTTATTTATTTATTTATTCATTTATTTATTGATTGGTCGTGGGGCTTGAACTCTGGGCCTGGGCACTGTCCCTCAGCTCTTCAACTCAAGGCAAGTGCTCTATCACTTGAGCCAGAGCATCACTTCCAATATGTAGCTTTTTAAAAAGTAGAGGAAGGAGCTTAGTGGTAGGACACATGTCTAGCACCATGAGGCCTCTGGGCTGCATCCACAGCACTGGAAAAAGTAAAGTAAACCAAGAAAAGTGGCTAAATGCCTTGTGCTTCCTAGAGGACATCAGATTGTGAGACGAGGGCTGTGAAGAATCGAATGACTAGTTTGGAGTATGGTTGATAAGTAATAGTATCAGATCTGCACACCAATGCCTTAGTGTTCTGTGTTGCGGTTGCTTGATATGCTTGGGAATGGGTTTACTCCTTTTTTTTTTTTTTTGGCTTGCTATAATCTGCTTTGTGTCTCTTCTATAAGGAGATACCTAAGAGTGGTGTGTTGGATCAGTTCTGGAGTCTGGCAGGCTCTTTGCTTCCGCTATTGACCTAAATAATTACCATTTATTGAGTGTGTACAGCAGGCAGCTACTGGGCTACATAATTATAGATTATAAAACCAAGAAAGGATATTCTTCTTAATAGTTCACATAATCAGGACTCTGAGTGGAGTATAATTATTTTGCCATTTTATAGGTGATAAAATGAGATCTGGTTAGATTAGGCAGTTTATTCAGTGTTACCGAGCTGGGAGACAGAAGAGCCAGAGTTTACAGCTCTGCCCTTAAGGGATGTGTCATATTGAAAAATGATCCCACCACGACGGCTCCCTCCTGTAGGCTCAGGCCAGGGGCTGTGTGAAGACATAGACAGAATGAGGGACCCCCAAAAGAAACTGCTTGGTGTGACTGGACAGTGGAATGCCAGTTTTCTCCCTACCCCAATTGCAGATAATTTTGATCAAGAAACTTGCTAACTTTGGTTTTTTGGCGGTTTTTGTTTTTGAATGCCAACGTGTGAACTTGAACTGCCCATTTTCTCTATAGCACTGTGTCAGCACTTTCATTTTGTCTCATTATTGAAGTAATTTGCCTTTTTTGTCTGTACATTAAAACAAATCTTAATTAAAAAGGAGAGGGGAGGGAAAGAGAGAGGGTGAGCTTGATGGAAATTTGTGGGTATGATGGTAAGGTATCTAATCACACCTGGGTGGAAGGGAGGCCTTCAGCTCTCATTAGTGCCTGGGTTCAGCTGAAAAACAGAAAGGGAGAAGAAGGAACTTGGTGGGAAAGTGGTGAGTTTGATGACTCTCTATAGCTTTGATGCTATTGATGGTGAGTCAGTTTTGCTTAAGACCTTTCTCTTTCAAGCCATGAGCCGGGGGGGAAGGGGGGGTGAGGGGGGGAGGGGGATATATATATATATATATACCCCCCTGTATATATATGTGTATGTATGTGTGTGTATAGTTGTACATAAATACTTGCGCAGATTCAAAGCTTTTTTGAGCTTTCATATTTATCTATTACTATTAATACTATTAATTTTTTGTAGTGCTGAGGATTGAATTCAGGGCCTTGAGCACACTAGGCAAGTGCTCTGTCAATGAGCAGTAGCCTCAGTACCTAATATTACTGACTGACAAACGGAATTTGATTTAAGTTTTCTCATTCAAATTGCTTAACCCAAATCACATTCCATTTATGGGTCTGATATATTCCATTTGGTTGTTCTTTGGTATCCCATAGCGAGTGCCCTTGGAAAACTTTGTGTAGACCTCTTAGGCCTTCAAGACACCATATTAAAGCTACCAGCCCCCTGGAGAGGAGAATTAAAGGCCTCCGAAGATCAGTCCTCCATAAGGGCAGTACAAATACTAGGGGAAAAAATGTTTTTTTTTGTTTTTTTTTTTGGTCCAGTCGTGGGGCCTGAACTCTGGGCCTGGGCACTGTCCCTCAGCTCTTCAGCTCAAGGCTAGCGCTGTACCACTTGAGCCACACCACCACTTCTGGCTTTTTTCTTTTTGCTTATGTGGTGCTGAGGAATCAAACCCAGGGCCTCATGCATGCAAGGCAAGTGCTCTACCACTGAGCCACCTTCCCAGCCCTAGGGGAAAAATGTTTTTAAAAACCTTATCTATAATCCTAGCTACTCAGGAGGTTGAGATCTGAGGATTGTGGTTCAAAGCTAGCTCTGGCAGGAAAGTCTAGAAAACTATCTCCAATGAGCCAACAAAAAGCTGGAAGTAGAGGTGTGGCTCAAGGGGTAGAGCCCCAGCCTGGAGAAAAAGTCAAGCTAGAGTGTGAGGCCCTGAGTTCAAGCCCTAGTACCAGTGTGTGCTTACACACACACACTTAGGGAGATGGTGGTGGTGAAAGGCCTCTTATTGATAAATGGCCAGGAGGCAAGCATAGTGTAACACATATAGAACCCCAGGATCCTACAGGTTGTGACCCAATGGGTGGGCTGGGTTGTTCATGAAAGTGATTCTTTCCTTCTCCCTTTGTCAGGGAGGATGAAGGCAGGCAGAAGGCAGCCATCCTCTTCCTCCCTTCTGTGGTCCTTGGCTGTTGGGTAGCACGGGAAGGGTTTTGTGCCTTGTGCTGCCTGCTGGCACCATCTTAGATCCTGTGACCCTCGAATGCAAGGAAAGAAGGACGTTTAGAAAAATAAACGTTTGCTCTTGCAGTTGTCAGACTCACTCAGTTTTCACTTGAAGGATGGTTCTACACATCTTTAAAAAATCTTAGCTGCTGCCTCTGAGGCTTGGCTGGGGTCAGGCAGGGCTGTGTTTCCAGGAGTCTTTATAATGAGAAAAAGTAGCATGAAAGGAAAACTCAGGGAAGTCAGTTGGGTTGGAAGGGAGTCTTGGCTGTGTCCCTCCGGCCCCTGTGCCAGGTTACTGAAGGTCTGCCGAGGTGAGTTCTGCAGAAAAAATGCCTTGGGCATCCATGCCAGAGACTGCATAGGACGCCTAGGTCTCTGGGCAGGCCCCATGTGCGCCCTGCCAGGAGCTGGCCTACAATCTGAGCACACAGGGCTATTGAGCAGACCGTTTTCTCATCTCTTCTGAATTTCCTGCAATTCCAGGTATAGGCCATAGGTCTAGGTATAGTTTGAGTTGCTTTCCTGTTAAGAAATCTCTGAAGTCTTGTGTGTTCAGGGGACAGTGAGCCAAGATAGTGGCTAAGTAATGGGACAAATGGCTAAGTGGAAAGGGACAAGCCGGCAACCTTGGGAAAGAGCCTACGCCGATAATCTGATCATAGTGTAATTAGTTTCAAAATGCTTTTTCTGCCTATTATTTCATTTGGTCCTCCCAACCGTCTTGGGAAGGCAGGTGTTATTTTCATCATTTCTAGATTGAGAGCAAGTGATAGAAGGTTATATAAGTGGAATAAATGTGGTAGAGGGTGAGAAAGAAAAGGTTAAAGCATCGGACATCAATGTACAGCCCTATAATGAGAAAGAAAGGAGCAGAGAGGCAGCGACTCCAGAGTTCATGCTTTCTTTTGTGCTGCCTGAAAGGATTTGAAACACTTAGAAGGTGTGTGTGTGTGTGTGTGTGTGTGTGTGTGTGTGTGTGTGTGTGTGTGTGCGTGCGCGCTGGTGTGTGTGTGTGTGTGTGTGTGCATGCGCGCTGGTGTGTGTGTGTGTGTGTGTGTGTGTGTGTGTGTGTGTGTGTGTGTGTGTGTGTGTGCGCGCGCATGCGCGCTTGCAACAGTCCTGGGGCTTGAAGTCAGGGCCTGGATGTTGTTTCTGATCTCCCACTTAAGCCACAGCTCCACCTCTGGCCTTTTTATAGTTAACTGAAGATAAAAGTTTCACAAATTTCCTGCCCAGGCTGGCTTTGAACCATGATCCTTAGACTTCAGCTCCTCCCCAAACCTTTAATCTTGTCAATAAACTTTGAGTAACCTACCAAGTGGCAGGTGTAGCGATGGGACAGGCCACGTTTCTAGTTTTGAACTGTTCCTCTGGTCTCCTTGCTGACTTCCTACTTCATTTCTATAAGGAGACTCTTGGCTCAAACTTAAAAATTGACATGATTTTTAGAAAGGAAAAAAACCCACCACATTTGTTTATAAATTTAGATGAGACAATAAGAAAATTTAACTGCTGTACCCGAGAAGTTGGATTTTAAAATAAATGAATTTATGTATTTGCTGTTGGATCATTTAAAAGATTTCCTTAGTTGCTTGTCAGATCTCATGCCTGTCAGCCCAGGGACCTCAAGCAACTAAGTACAACCTAGGGCTCGGCCCCAAGCCCCAGGTGGTGGAACATTCCATAAAAAATGCAACAATATTTCTTCTTATTGCC